TTATAAGTGTACGGAGCAGAGTTTGGTGGCGAGGTAGTACAGGTGGAGCGACGTGGCTGCCATGGCGACCATATTCCCGATGGCGATGATCATGTGCGTCCTGCGGAAGGCGCGGTAGAGTCTCATGTAGTGCGGGCAATGGGCGAGGCGCCCCGGGCGGTTCGTGCCGATCTCCTGGCCCAGGCCCGCCTCGCGCTCGATGGCGATCTGGAGGAGGAAGGAGGCAAAGGGTTAAGGTTGAGGCACAGGAGGGCTGGGGATGTTCATCTCGAGGAGGGACGTTGGAGTCTCTCTCTCTCTCTCTCTCTCTCCTCTCTCTCTCTCTCTCTCTCTCTCTCTCTCTCTCTCTCTCTCTCTCTCTCTCTCTCTCTCTCTCTCTCTCTCTCTCCTCTCTCTAATCACTCTCTTTTTCAACAGGGAGGGGATGACGTGAGAAAAGTTGGATCACTTAATCAAACTTTGGAAAGAAAAGGAAAAAAATCGATAAAGTTTACTTATTCTGCTGGAAAGGGAAAGAAAAGCAGAACATTCCTTTAATTTTGAAGGGTAGAGTGGGAAAAATACGTGTGTTGACTATTCCATTTAAAGGACTTTGGTCTTTACTTTTCGCTTTGAAAAGTAGAAGGAAAATATCTGATAAGATGTGGGTCACTTTCTCTAGCATATAAAAAGATGGACAAAAAAAAAAAAAAAAAAAAAAAAAAAAAAAAAAAAAAATCCAATAAAAAAAAATATAGTACAAAATCAAGAAAACAACAACAACAACAACTCTGATGTTGAAAAAAAGAAAAGAAAAGAAAAAAAAACTGCACCATTTTATAAAAAGGAAAAAAAAAAAAACAAAGACCCAAGAATTCCTATACGACCCCCTGTTCTCCCAATTCTCCCCCCCCCCTGTCGCATACGTGGACGTACCTTGACAGTGATCAGCTTCGTGAGGACCGGTGCGAGATAGAGCCGGATGCCCAGATTAACCAGGAAGCTGCCAACGAGGATCCCGCCCTGGGAGGAAGAAAAAGAAATGGTTGGGGGGTTTCTGCCTTTATTCCTATTCCTATTCCTATTATCATTATTATTATTACTATTACTTATTTTTATTGTTATTATTATTATTATTATTATTATTATTTATTATTATATTAATATTATTATTATTATTATTATTATCATTATTATTATTATTATCATTATTACTATTATTATTATCATTATTACCATTATCATTATCATTATCATTGTTATTATCATCTTTATAACTGACAATTGTTGTTAGGGTAACACTATCTCTCTCTCTCGGTAAAGCTTCACACATCTCTTAGACAAATTTATCGTTGTTAATCAAAACATCTCTTTCTTTCCTTCTCCCTCTCTGTCTGTCTGTCTTTCTCTCTCATCCGTATTAAAAATAAAAACAAAAACAAAAACAAAATAAGATGAAAAAAGTATAAAAAATAAATGAATAAGGACAAATGAATAAGGTAAATAAAGCTCGAGGAAATCATTCACTCTCATTCACACTTCCCTCAAGCGGATTCACTCGGGGTTTCACGGCCACTCTGCATCCTCGATGAGCGACGAAACGAGGCCACATTCATAAGGGTCCTTCGCACGCTTAGAATTATGATCGACCCTATTTGCATATGAATCTCGACTTTTTGTCTCGGTAGAGAGAGAGAGAGAGAGAGAGAGAGAGAGAGAGAGAGAGAGAGAGAGAGAGAGAGAGAGAGAGAGAGAGAGAGAGAGAGAGAGAGAGAGAGAGAGAGAGAGGAGAGAGAGAGAGAGAGAGAGAGAGAGAGAGAGAGAGAGAGAGAGGCAGACAGGCAGACAGGCAGACAGACAGACAGACAGACAGACAGAGAGAATGAGAGATAGCTAGCTAGCTAGATAGAAAGATAGATAGATAGAGAGAGAATGATAGCTAGCTAGCTAGCTAGCTAGATAGAGAGAGAGAGGGAGAGATTGTCGCTTCCCTTATTTCTATTTTACTAATCGTCGTTATCATAGATCTTTCTTATTATGTATATGAATGTATGTGCATATCTCTACCTGTCGTTCAGTTAATTTAATTACTCATTTATCCGCCTGTCTATTGATCAGTCTGTTTGTCTGCCTGTTTGTCTGTGAATCTATCTATTTATATATCCATCCATCTAACTATCTATCAATCTATCTATCCATCTCTTTATCGATATTTCTATTTATTTGTATGCGTAGGTTACTGATAGGCTGTGAAGTGAAAAAAACGTGAAACATGAATGAAGATAATAACTTATCTAATCCCAAGGACATGTGGCCTAAGCACATTAGGCCTAATTTTGAAAATATGCAATGTATAGTTCCTTTCAAAAGCTCGTAGGCCACTTATTCAGAGAGAGAGAGAAGGAAAAAAAGAAAGAAAGAAAGAAGGAAAGAAAGAAAGGAAGAAGGAAAGAAAGAAAGAAAGATAGAAAAAGATACATACATATATATATATATATATATATATATATATATATATAAT